GCAGAAGACGACTAGCCCAGGTTCTGACCATGAGGGCCCGAATACCTACTGGAAGCACCCTAAATGGACGGTGGATGGTAGGAGCTCTCTAGAATCGTGCTGAAGTAGGGCCGCGCCGAGGCAATCTGAGCAGGCAGTGGTGCTGAATACGTGGGCCTGCTGGACTGACCCCTCATGAACTGAACTATCCCCCAAAACAGGGTTTCATTGAATCCTCATGAATGTCGAGGCCCCTTCTCCCTCATCGTATACAATTGGCCTTAGCTGCAGATACCCTCGATCCTCCGAGCTATCTCCACAACCTACTCGTAAGGAGTTCCCATCTCAACCTCTCGGGCCATAGTAATCTGGATACCATAGTGCAAGCCCGTAATAAACCTCCGCACTCTCTATACATCGGTGGGGAGTATCATATGTGCATGAAGAGACAACTCAGAGAATCTCGCCTCATAATCGGTCACAGACATCTGACCCTACTAGTGTCGCCCGAACTTACCCCGTAGCTCGTCCTTCTGAGAGGGTGGAATATACCTCTCCAGAAATAGGTGTGTAAACTGGTCCAAAGTCAAGGGAGGTGAACATGCTGGCCTGCTACAAAGATAGGATTGCCACCATCTACGAGACCTATCCTCCAGTTGAAATATGGTGGAGTCCACCTCGTTGGACTCCAAGTCTCCCATGTTGTGCCGCCTGTCCCTGCAACGATCAATGTCCTCACGTCGCTTACCGCCAAAGACAGGAGGATGCAACCTGGTCCATCTGTCTAGCCATTTCTACTGCTCAATGGTCACGACTGGTCTGGGCTCTGGCATAACCGCTGCAACTGGCTGGGGCCCGCCTGCAGGTAGTGCACCTGGGGTCTAATAAACAGTGAACGATAGGGGTCTGTGCTCCTCCTCCCACATCTCAGTGCTCCCCCTCCCACCTGAGATGTGGTTGGGTCCACTAGAAATAAAACAGCATGCACCATAGAATTCATGAACCGCAGCATATGGCCCATGACCTCCTAAAATCCCGGCGCAATCATGAAATCTGCCAAGTTCGGCTTAGCTGGAAGCGCCTCATCTTGCTCCTCAATCACATGATCCTCCACTAGATCCACTAAAGGTACAACGGGGCAACCCTATGATGCCCTCGTCCTCTAATAGGAGCTGGAGCCCACCCCGGGCTCTACCTCTAGCAACATGGGGAGCAACTCCTCTACCGCCGGGTACAGCTACCGCGCGCATTCTCACCATCTGTGAGAGAATAAGAGAAAGATACTTAGCACAATATCAAGTGCACGACAGGATTCTCGCTATAGGCCGTGATGGCGCCCAACGTCGATGTTTGGCAAGCCTACGCGGAACTATCCATTTAATTATTTATTAATTTATTTTTGAAGTCAAGGATTTTATTTAATAAAGAAGCTAAGAATAAGTGACCATGTAATATAAAGCATGAAAAAAACATAAGAGTGGAATAGTGATATTAATAGGCCAAACCCATAAATATCTACTAGAAATTCCCAAAATCCGGTATCACAAGTGTACGAGCAATCAAGTAGAATAGATAAAACTTCCTACAACTACTGTCTGAAATAAAATAGATGAAAATAGTAAATATAACAAGGATGAGACTCCGGGGCTGCAAAATGAAGCATGGAAAGCAGCTCACCACTAGGCCTCCGGATAGTATGGATGCGCACCTGATCGGATACCAGATGTACCTGCCTCAGTACCTGCAAATTTGTGCAGAAGCGTAGAATGAGTACGTAAACAACGTGTACCCAGTAAGTATCTAGTCTAACCTCGAAGAAGTAGTGACGAGGGGTCGACATCGACACTTACTAGAGGTCAATAAATAAAGTGTAAGAAATTATAAATAGGCAGGAAATACAACAGTAATAATGGAATAAAAAGCATTAAATAAGTGATTTCTCAACAAAATATCGATCTTAAAACCCATAAATATTACATGCCAATTTCAACAAATATGCGCCATCAAGTATTTATTAATTCTCAAGTCATGAAGGAAATATTAAGTACAATCGAACTCCCAATGACATCACGCACGAGTTATGCCGAGGTCGTACGGTCCAATCCATAATAATCGTATACATACACTACCGAGGTCGTACGACTCGATCCAAGGATGCATCCAATTATATATAAATATTGCTGAGTCGTTCGGCCCGATCCACATGAATAGGAAAACTCTTCGGACTATGGTACATACGTATACAACACAAAGGTAAGCACATAAAGGAGCATAAATTTTCTATTAATATTAGAATATTCTGCCAAAACTCAACGTAGCAAATCTCGGTCAAACATAATATCTAATCAAATTTCATTTATTAATTTAAGTAATTGAACTAACTAGTTGGGTTCAAATAGTATAAGTATTGCATAATAAAGTCCTATGTTTGCTTGGACATAACATGATTTTAGCTACGTACGGACTATCGTCACTTTGTGTGTACGTAGCACCCAAGATTATTAACAATTAATAATTCAAACACCTATGGGGGTTAATTCCCTCTTACAAGGTAATGCAAGAGACTTACCTTGTTTGCAAACCCTCTTCCCGGTCCTCAAATCACACTAATAGCCTCGAGTCGCTGCCGAGCAATCCGAAACTAGCCAAAGGTCGTACAAACTAATCAATATGTGTTCAAAAGTTCATAATTTAACTATTAGGTAATCACCCAACCCAATTTGAAAAATTCTTAGAAGTCACCCCAGGCCCACGTGCCTGAATTTCGAAATTTTTTGTAGATAAATGTTACCCATAACCTTATGAATTCAAATATATAATTTTAACTCAATTCCATAATCATTTTCGTGATCTAATCCCATTTTTACCAAAACCTAGTTTTTTTTCAACAAAATCCTATAATTTCCACAATTTACATATTAAAACCAACATAATCTATGTATTAAACTTACATTGCATACATATCATTTACCTTAAAATGCTAGGTCAAAAATCCCTCTCCAAGAGCTCTAAAATCGGCAACCCAAAGTGAAATGAGAGAAAATGAGCCTAAGTCCCGATTTAAAATATGTTTCTGCCCAGTGGTTCCTTCTTCGCGATCGCGAAGGAAAAAATCAGCCATCGCCTAAAAACATTCTTCGCGAACGTGACATGTCCCTCGTGAACGCGAAGGTTAACCTGACTAACCTTTCGCGAACGTGGTCAGCCAATCGCGAAAGCGAAGAGTAACGACCTAGCTTCCTAGGCCCAGCTCACCCCTTCTACGCGAACGTGATGCAACCATCGCGAACACGATGCAACCACTGCGAACATGGTGGCTACTGGTCTCTAGCTTTCGCGAACGCGAAACACTAAATGCCCTAGCCCAATTCCTTCAACGCGAACGCAAGACTCCTTCCGCGTTCGCGAAGAATGAAACTAGTAGCAGATTTGCAATTTTGACTTAATTTTGGGTGGTCCGAAACACACCCGAGCCACCCGGGATCCTGTCCAAATACACCAACAAGTCCATAAATATAATATGGACCTGGTGAAACCTCGTAACTTATAAAACAACATTGAAATGAAGAATCGCACCCCAAAACCAAATTAATCAACTTATGAATTTCAAACTTCTTCAACTAGCTCCGAATGCGACGAACCATACTTAGACAACTCGGAATGACGTCAAATTTTGCGTACAAGTCTTAGTTCACCATACGAACCTATTTCCAGGATCAAAATCCTAAACGGACATCGATATCACCAAAGCCTACTTCAAACCAAATTTAAGAAACTCTAAAACCTTCAAGGAGCCAACTTTCAACATTAAGCGCCGAAACGCTCCTGGATCATCCGAAACTCGATCCGATCACGCGCCCAAGTCCAAAATTATCATACGAACCTATTGGAACCATCAAATCCCGGTTCCGATGTTGTTTACTCAAAATGTTGACTCAAGTCAAACTTGGCCACCTTAGGCCACTTTTAAGGAACTAAGTGTTCCGATTTCAACCCGAACCCATCCAAAACCAAATCAACCATGCCCACAAGTTATGAAATAGTAAAAGCACATACGGGGAGTCTTTAGGGTGACGAGGATCTAAAAGGCAAACCGACCAGTTGGATCGTTACGGTGGTTGAGTATGATGTGGTTGGTGATGGTGGTTGAGTATGATGGTAGTGGATGATGCATGGTGGTATGTGATAATGATGGGCGATGTCGATGGTTTAGCAGTGAATATTGATGATAACATTTTTATTAAAATTAATTTTTTGTTATAAATCTTAATTATTTAGATTTATTTAGATCCATTAAATTGTTGTGAAATAGAAAATAAATATATTTTATGATTAAGATTTGAATAAAATTCATAGTTTACAAATAAGATTAAAGATGATTAAGATTTATACCTCCGTTGATAAAAAAAACAAATGAGCCTAAATGGCTAGGACTGAAATGTATATAGAGTGAAGGAATGATAAAATAGACCAATTAGTCAGTCAACCTTTTGGTCATTGTTTATTGATACTTCCATCTATTATTGTCTTTCACTACAATTATCTAGTGGATAAGAGATTATGCAATCTTCTACTTAAAAAGAGAGAAGAAAGAGAGCAATTTGCTTTGTTAGCTTCAGGACTCTGTTTTCTGTTTCAGGAATTCAATCACTGTACAAGAAGGTATTGAATTTCTACCAATAGGAAAGTAAGTTGTTGTAGCTACAGATTTTAGCTTAAATTTTCTGCATTAATGGCATTGTTCTGTAGATGCTGACTTTGTACTCCACATACGCAAGTAATTTTGTTCATCGCAACTACTAATAAGTGGGTCTCCTAAATTATAATTATAAGAAAATAAAGATATTCAACTCTTCTACTTGTCTTTTTCCTAGCAAGATGTGTTTGAAAATAATAATGACAGATCATGAAAGAAAATAAATTATTTCATTCCAGCCATCCACCTGTTGTCCACTAGAGGAAAACAAGAAAAAGGTTAATTAATCAGTGTGCCTTATGGTCATTGTTTATTAGTTCTTTCACATGAAAGAAGTGCAATTAGAAATGAACAAAGAACATTATTAGATGAAGTAAGAAAATATCAATTAATCAGTCTAGCTACCTTTTAATCATTGCTTGTGCAGTGCTTTTATTATCTCTCATATTAAAAGGAATGCAATGAAAAATGAATAAGACCATTTAGTCCTTGAGAATCTAGGTTGAAGACAACTTTCTTCATCACTTCCTCCAAACGGTGTGTTCTGATTCTCCTTCTTATGAACATTTGCAAATCTTAGCTTACTTTATTCTTATGCTTTGTTAGTTGCAGGAATAGCTGGTTCAATTTTTGTTTCTTGGGCGTTTGAGGACTTCGTTCACTGTATTAAGGTGTTTACCGTTGGGGCTTTATTTGAAGTTAGATTTCAACCAATACGAAAGTAAGGTTTTTGTTGGTCTTCTTAGCTCTTTTTCATATGTATAGTGATGTTAAAGTTTCAAACACCATAATGAAACATCAACTTTTGAACCGAAAAGGTGCTGGAATCAACATGTTCAGTGATGATAGAGTTCAGCATCAGACCTAGCAGCATACATGTTTGCAAATTACAACTAGAGTCTTGAAACTTTGTAAAGGCTTTCACATGGTTGAAATTCCAAATCGTAAATTTCAAAGTAATAGAAAGAGTTCACGGTTGTGACAACACACTTCTTTGACTATATTTTAGATTATAATGGAAGTTTCATCCCTCATTTGCTCTTTGGAAATTGGAAAACGGATAATTGTGAAGGTATCCATCTTCGTTTGGTGTATGGTTGCAACATTTAGGCCATTGACATAGTTGTAAAGAATAAGATGGGTGAAATAAGGAATACTGGACTATTCGATGTTTAGTGGGTAATGGAATCAGTAAAATGCCTGAAATATGTTTGTTGTCAAGCTCTGAATTAAGATAATGATTTATTACTTGCAGGACTTATTAACAATTAGAGGAAACTGAAAAGGTGGAAAGGAGATGGCCGAGGGTCGCGATGTGATAGGTGCCATAAACCTTGTGAAGGGCCAGCATTTTGGTAGAACGACCATTAATCAATTGGAGGATGCTACAAAGCACCTAACGCGTGTAGCTGTATTTCTCACGAATCTGGAGAAGCGCTACCCTGAGAATGGAATATCTGGACAACTTAGGCCCCTATTTCTAGAAGCTCGTGATGGCTTTTCCGAGATATCTTCTCGTTTTCCTCGTTTCAACCTTACCATTAAAATGGGGAATATTGCTGAGAAATTCAAAGCTTCAAAGGCATCAAGATCAACTAGCCAAATAATTTCGGAGGTGCTGAAAATAATTGAACATGAGAATATTGCTAAGCAAATCAGAGCTTCAAAGCCATCAAGATCATCTAGTCGAATCACTTTGGAGATGGTGGGGTTTGTTGAATCTTTGCTTGGTTCTGTTCATCGTGCTCTCTTCTTTATTAGTGTAGGGCCTGCCGCGTCTGTGCTTGACAAGAAGCTCCGACATCTCCGAGTCTTCTTCACATTAATTGCAAAGCAGTGCATTGAGCACGAGAGTATGAAGGATCTCTTTACCCATGTTGAGGATGTAGCTTACACTGCAGCATACCTATGTTTCTTGGGGTCGAACTGCAATGTGGATGGCGAGTTCTCTAAATTGCTGGAAAGGGTAAGTCGTCCTTTTAGCCCAGAATTGAGGCAGATTTATCTGAGTGCCTTGATAGGGTTAAAGTCATCAAGCTCTGAGACTACTACAATATTGAATGCCAAATGTATGCTGGATTTTGTTAGTGCTCTCCGGGAGGATCTAAGACTTGGATGTGATGGTCGAATTAGGTGGCTCCAAAGAGGACTTTCTTACCTTTCTCGATTTCTCAGGGACGTAGAATCTTATCCCCTTCCACTTGGAGAAGTGATTTCTCTTAGATTAAATATGGAAGCTCTGGCCATTGGGGCAGCAAATGCTATCTACTCCTCCTATGATGAAATGCACAACACTACTGAAATAGATGATGTGCTTTTTCATTTGCAACTGAAGTTTAATTATGTCAAGGTGGAAGTCGATCTGATTCGGCTACTAACCCGTCAAGCCGCCATCACAATAGGTCCTATGAAATCTCTGATTGACTATGTTTGGAGTGAGCTGATATTCTTTAGAAATTATTTCATGGATGCATTTAAGCAGTGTAATGAGAAGACTAAGATAACTGTTATTTTGACCTCTATTCAATCTGCGATTAGCCAAGCATGGTCAGTCTGTGATTCTCTTTGTCATGACTTGGAGCAAGAAGACTCTTTTTCTAATGATACGCATCAAGAAGGCTCTTTTTCTAATGATACGCATCAAGAAGACTTGGTCAGGGAAATGATTAATTGCTTGCATTTTCAGCTGCTTCTTAAATTCAAGTTTATTAAGGCAGCGATTAGACAGATGTATCCCAGCATTTCTGCATCATCAACATTAGACCATCCCACGATAAGTCTGCTGAACTTTCTTCCTATGAACTTTGAGGTTATCGATTCCTATTTCAGCATGCTAAAATCCTCCAATACATCATCCTCACATAGGCCCATGATGGATGAGGTTTTGATGGGGTTTCATGAATATATTCTGGAAAATCTGCTACTGAAGGATGAAACCAATTTGACGTTTACTATTGCAGATGAGGTCAAAAAGTTTTATGGTGGGTTATTGCTCCTGGTAACATATCTTATTGAACCTCTAGTTCCTCACATTGAATGTAGGGAGCAAAATAATGTCTCGACGGGATTTGGAACCATCGCAATTGAGGCGCAATCTGCTATGAGTTTATCTTATGAGGATTTTATGAGTAGCAACAACTGTAGGGAGGTCAATCTTGTTCTTCAATTTTTGACTGTGGCTTTCTGGCTTATCAAGTCTGAGGGAAGCTTGATGGATATACTAAAGCACAAAGCCACTTTGGAATATCAAGTTCTGGATCTGATTGAGAGTGCTCGTGAAGAGCTTATTTTCATTAGATCTATTCTCATGGATCTTCTCAGGCAACACGCAGAACTTAACAAATTGGATGATATCTTAATGCATGCTGAAGTGACTGCAAAAAAGTTAGCAATACTTGGTGATTGTTGTTATGAAATTTTCCAGGACGGAAGCAGCACCGACATAATGAGGCCTTGGTTATCTGATTCTCTACAAGAGATTGAGTCTGTCAAGGCAGAGTTCAGAAAAGTATGCTTTCAAGTTCTGGATGTATCACCTTTGACCATGACAGATGGAGAAGGCCTTATTAATTTCTTATTAAACCAACAGTACAAGGTGCCGAGCAATGATGCTGCTTCTTTTAACGAAAGTTTCATGGATGGAAGCAGCAGTGAGAATATGGAACTTTCATCATCTGATTTTCTAGGGGAGATTGAGTCTGTCAAGGTAGAGGAGGTCAGAAATGCATGCAATCAAGTTGTGGATGCATCACCCTATGAGATGCGTAAGACAGATGGAGAAGGCTTTATCAATATTCTGTTAACCCAACAGAACAAGGTGCTGGAATATGATACTGGTTCAATCTTTTTTCTGCATAATCAAATCTCAGTAGTTAAAGACAAACTTTTGGACATGGGATCTTTACTTGTAGATATTGTACAGTACCGCAATATGCATCTTGAACTCAAAGATCTTGCTAAACGCGTTCAAGATAAAAACTACATTTGTTTCTTCTCCATCAAGGGGTATATTCCTGCTTGGTATTACACATTATATCTCTCTGATGTCAAGCAGTTGATTAAGTTTGTTGAGGCAGAGGTAAAGACGATTTGTCTGAAAGTTCCAGATTCTTCAAGTTATAGCTTCCCCAAGACAAATGGACTAGGATTTCTCAATTGCTTTTTGGGCAAATTGGAGGAGCTTTTATGTTCTAAGCTTGATTTGGCTGTTGGCTTAAATCATCAGATTGGATCAGTCAAGGAGGGCTTACTGTATCTAACATCATCGATTGGTCATTTTTCAGAAAACTATGATGAGCATGATGAAGTTTATGGTCTTATAACAAGTGTTACTGTATTGGCATACAAGGCCGAGTATGTCATTGACTCATGCTTGGCCTATTCTCATCCACTCTGGTACAAAATTCTTTGGATTTCTGAAGTTGTTGAGAATATTAAGATTGTAAATAAAGTTGTTAGGGAGACTTATGAAAGAAAGAAGTTTGAAGTGACAGTGCATGAAGTTGCAACGACCTCCACTAATCTTGCACCGTCGATTTCAGATAATACTCAAAGAACAAACGAAGAAATGGAGGGTTTCCAGGATACAATGGACGAATTAAAGGAGCAGCTACTTGGAGGATCACCTCAACTAGATGTCATCTCAATCGTTGGCATGCCAGGATTGGGCAAGACTACATTGGCGAAGAAGATTTACAATGATCCAACAGTCACCGCTCACTTTGATGTCCATGCTCAATGTCTTGTGACTCAAATATATTCATGGAGGGAGTTGTTGCTGACCATCTTGAATGATGTTCTTGAGCCTGCTGATCGCAATGAAAAAGAAGATGGTGAATTAGCGGATGAGCTACGCCGATTTTTGTTGACTAAGAGATTCTTGATTCTCATTGATGATGTGTGGGACACCAAAGTGTGGGACAATTTACATATGTGCTTCAGAGATGTTCGGAATGGGAGTAGAATTATTCTAACAACCCGGCTGAGTGACATTGCCAATTATGTTAAATGTGAAAGTGATCCCCATCATCTTCGTTTGTTCAGAGATGATGAGAGTTGGACATTGTTACAGAAAGAGGTATTTCAAGGGGAGACCTGTCCACCTGAACTTGCAGATGTGGGATCTCGGATAGCAAGGCGTTGTAGAGGGTTGCCTCTCTCAGTGGTGTTAGTAGCTGGTGTTCTGAAACAGAAAAAGAAGAAACTAGATTTGTGGAAAGTAGTAGAAGAAAGTCTAGGTTCCCAGAGCATTGGCAGCTTAGAGGAGAGCATGTCTATAATTGGATTCAGTTACAAGAATTTACCACACTATCTTAAGCCTTGTTTTCTCTATTTTGGAGGATTTTTGCAGGGCAAGGATATTCGTGTCTCAAAATTGACTCGGTTGTGGGAAGCCGAAGGATTTGTACAAGCAAACAAGGAAAAAGGACAAGAAGATGCCGCACAAAGTTTCTTGGAAGATCTTATTCGTAGAAATCTAGTAATGGGCATGGAGAAGAGACCCAATACCAAGGTGAAAACGTGCCGCATTCATGATTTGTTGCATAAATTCTGCATGGAAAAGGCCAAACTAGAGAATTTTCTTCTCCAGATCAATAGGTAAAAAAGTAACTATACAAATATAATTGTATTATGTTTATCCCAACTCTAATTTTCATGTGTTTTCTTTTATCTGGCTCAGTGGAGAGGATGTGTTCCCTGAACAGCCGGAGGAATACCGACTGTTCGTTCACTCTTACCAAGATGAAATCGATTTGTGGCGGCCATCTCGCTCAAATATCCGCTCTTTACTATTCAATGCAATTGATCTGGATAACTTGTTATGGCCGCGTGATATCTCCTTCATCTTTGACAGTTTCAAACTTGTTAAAGTGTTGGATTTAGAATCTTTCAACATTGGTGGTACTTTTCCCAGTGAAATACAATATCTAATTCAGATGAGGTACTTCGCTGCTCAAACTGATGCAAATTCAATTCCTTCATCTATAGCTAAGCTTGGGAATCTTGAGACTTTTGTGGTTAGAGGATTGGGAGGCGAGATGATTTTACCTTGTTCACTTCTGAAGATGGTGAAATTGAGGCATATACATGTAAACCATCGGGTTTCATTTGGTTTGCATGAGAACATGGATGAATCCCTTTCTCACTCTCAATTAGCTAATTTGGAAACCTTTTCTACTCCACGTCTCTCTTATGGTGGAGATGCAGAGAAGATTTTGAGGAAGATGCCAAAACTGAGAAAGTTGAGTTGCATATTTTCAGGGACATTTGGTTATTCAAGGAAAGTGATGGGTAGGTGCGTTCGTTTTCCCAGATTAGAGTTTCTTAGCCACCTTGAGTCCCTCAAGCTGGTTTCCAACAGCTATCCAGCTAAACTTCCTCACAAGTTCAATTTCCCCTTGCAACTAAGGGAATTGACTTTGTCCAAGTTTCGTTTACCTTGGACCCAAATTTCGACCATTGCAGAACTGCCCAACTTGGTGATTCTTAAGTTATGTCTCAGAGCCTTTGAAGGGGATCACTGGGAAGTGAAAGATTCAGACTTCCCTGAACTCAAATACTTAAAACTGGATAACATCAAAGTTGCACAATGGTCGGTCTCTTATGATGCTTTTCCTAAGCTTGAACATTTGGTTTTAACGAAATGTAAGCATCTTGAGAAAATCCCTTCTCATTTCGATGATGCTGTATCTCTAAAAAGCATTGAGGTAAACTGGTGCAACTGGTCTGTTGCCAATTCAGCCCAAGAAATTCAAACAACACAACGTGAAGATATGGCAAATGATTCATTCACAGTTACCATACAGCCTCCAGATTGGGCTAAAAGATCATCTCCTTGACTCATATCTGGTATGTTCTTGCCGTTTTCATCTGAGTACGTTTACACTTATTCATTTTTCTTTTACGCCAGAACATATTTGTTTTGCTAGTATTATATGCTTAGTACTAGTATTACTTAATATACGTATCAAATAATTAAGAAATCGAACTCATAACTTCTGATGCAATCTTAACTTTTTCTCGGGCTTATTTGAGATCAAAAGTAGATCAATGGTTCCTGTAACTTTTAATTCACGTTTTGCTTCAATTGCCCTGGCACAGTTGTCCAATGATAATATGTAGGGGTGTTCATAAAGACCCGAAAAACCGAACCAAACCGAAAACCAAACCAAACCGACCAAAAAAACCATACTTTTTGGTTTGGTTTGGTTTTGGTTTTGAATTTTAAAAATCGATCAAATGTGGTTTGGTTTTGGTTTTAATCAGAAAAAACCGAAAAAAAACCAAACCAAACCGACTATAGGAGTAGCTATTTCAAATTTATTATTACACCTATATATATGTATATTTTTATACAAAGTTTCAAAAATTTTATGGTAAATGTTAATAGTTTGCATTTTTAGTATAGTTCTTTACCTTTACATTCTAGTTTGATTGGTAGTTTTCTTTTGTTAAGTGTAAGAATCCATTTCGTGTTAAAAATAATATATTTTTAATTGAGTCCTTAAATTATTCATCACTATTTGATTCAATTATAATAGTATATCTTGGTAAATAGTAGATTCCTCAAAGGGCAATTAATTTGATAGTGTTACATTGAAAATGTGGTGGCCGGAATATGTGTTTGGTAGTGTATGTCTTATATTTAAGAAAAAACCGACAACAACAACAACAACTACCCAGTATAGTCCCACAAGGTGGGGTCTGGGGAGGGTAATACGTACACAGGCCTTACCCCTACCCGAAAGGGCAGAGAGGCTGTTTCCAATCGACCCTCGGCTCAGGAAAAGGAAAAGGAAAACAAAAACAAAAAACAAAAAGCAAAAGAGCATTAGTAACTCCAGCAGAGATCACATAAATAATTATCTAAACATAAACCATAAATAAAATGGCATGCAAATATATCGACCAGTAACTACCATAAGGGGGCACAATACAATACACAGATCTATCTATGGAGAGCCCTACCAACCCCCCCCCCCCACGCCCGGACGAGAAGTAACGAAAATTACTAGAACGCCCTA